TTGATCTTTGCCTTTTTCACTAACGTGCTTTGATTATTTTGTCTTAAAAAAATCATATAAAATGGCAGATAACATTGTTAACAACATGCACAACCCCGAGATTCGAGGGGATCAGCCTCATTTCGAGGACTCAATCAGTGACACCCACAATGAGAGGAATAGTGCCACATCGGTGCATGACATGCAATATCCTCGATATGTTCGGGAGACAACTCCGGATGATGCTGATGAGGAATATGTCGTTGACGAGGTAAGGGTCTTGCAAGAGCAACAGACAATCGCTCTAGGCCACCTCATGCGACATGATAAGGTTATGATGAAGTTGAAGTAGGCTTGGTCGGGAGCTTCAAATAATGCAAACAGACGAGATCCGATTCCTCTCGAGGCTCCCGTGAATCAAACAACGCAGAGGGTCGACAATAACACTCCCAAGTGTGAAATTGGCTCTGATGGGGCAGGGGGAGCAGATCTGGCCTCAATAACAAGAATGATCCCTTCAAGAATGATCTTTTACGGTTTATGAGGGAAGTGAACGCCTGCATGGACCAGATTCCGGGTGCGCCACCAGTGCTGAAAGGTTCGGGCTCGAAAAAGTATACTCAATTGCCATACAAGCCAAGTGCGGCACCAAAGTTAATCCCGAAGCGGTTCAAAATGCCTGAAGTGCCAAAGTATGATGGAACTTCAGACCCCCAGGAGCATATTACCACCCTACACAACGACGGTAAAGGGAAATGATTTAACTCCTCACGAAATTGAATCTGTATTGCTAGAGAAATTTGGAGAAACCCTCACAAACGGAGACTTGATATGGTATTCACTGTTACCCGATCATTCCATAGACTCCTTTGAAATGCTCGTGGATTCTTTCATCAAGGCTCATGCCGGGGCTAGAAAAGTACAGGCCCAAAAGGCCGACATATTCAGGATTGTGCAAGGAGAGTCCGAGTTGCTACGAGAGTTCGTTACCCCATTCTAGAAGGAGATAAAGTTTCCCCTGGCTGTCCCGGATGAATGGGCGGCTGAATCATTCACCAAGGGATTGAATCCGAGGAGTTCAGATGCTTCCCAGAAATTGAAGGAAAACCTGCTCGAGTTTCAAGTAATGACCTGGGAAGATGTCCACAATCGGTATGAATCAAAAATAAGGATCGAAGATGATCAAGTTGGTTTTCTATCATCGACCAAAGGACAAGAAAAGAACAGAGAAAAATCAAACGATGATTATGACGCGGACAAACAGACTTCGAGGGGGCGGTCTTTTCCCTACAAATGGAACGAAGGCCGCAACAGAGGTTTCCAGACAGTACACAGGTTCGCCGCTGACAGTAGAACTGATCGCAGTCAGAACAATCGATCACTGCAGAATAAAGAAGCGTCAGGGTCACAAGATCCTTCTTACCCTAAGTTATCGAAATACAACTTCAACATCAGTATAGTGGATTTTGTGTTGGCCATGAGAAACATCAAAGAAGCACGGTTCTCGAAACCAATGAGAATTGATCCCAGCCAGAGGGATCCCAACTTGTGATGTGAATACCACATGACAAATGGCCATCGGACAAGGGACTGTCGACACCTCCGAAAAGAAGTGGCAACATTATTGAAGAATAGTCACCTCAGAGAATTCTTGAGTGACTGAGCTAAGAACAATTATGGTCGTAACAGGGATAACGCGGAACCCTCGAAAGCAGGAGAAGATCCCCCGCGTCAAACAATCAACATGATCTTTGGAGGGAACGATATTAACGAGGTTACCTCTTCAGCAGCAAAGAAGATGAAAGTATCAATAACGCATAGCAAAAGGCTTCGGGAAGACGATATCACTTTTACGGAGGAGGACGCAGACAGATTGTTGCTACCACATAACGACGCACTGGTAATTTTTTTAAATGTTCCAGATTTTAAGATTAAACGTGTTATAGTGGATCCAGTAAGTTCGACTAATATCATATAATGGAGAGTATTGGAGCAAGCTAAACTCACCGGAAGAATTATTCCGGCCACAAAGCTCCTCACCGGATTCAACCTCGCAAGTGTGACAACTCGGGGAAAATTTTTATTACTCATGAACGTTGAAGGAGTAATGAAAACAACTCTTTTCGAAGTAGTAGATGGTGATATGGGATACGACATCATTCTAGGAAGGCCATGGTTGCACGAGATGAAATCTATACCATCAACATATCATCAATTACTGAAGTTTCCAATGCCTGAAGGAATTAAGCAGATAAGGGATGATCAACCGACGACAAGGGAGATGAATGCAATTTTGGTCTCCAGTAGCAAAGTAAAGGAGCACGTGGTATAACAATTACAAGGACCGACACCTACTCCCGAACTAGATGAAGTTAGCCCAGGGGCGGAGGCGTCGGGATATTACCAGGTGCCAAGATATTTCCCAAGTTCCAGAAGATATTGATGCAACGAAGTCCACATCGGAAGAGCTGGAGCAAGTGGCATTATTTGAAGAATTCCTAGAAAGGAAATTCCTATTGGGGACATGACTGCACCTAGAACTCAGGTCCGACTTTATTAAATTCCTTAAATCTAACACCGATTGTTTTGCATGGTCACATGAGGATATGACAAGCATCCCAACAGAGGTAGCCGTATACAAGTTAAGCTTGGAAACCAACATACCTCCGATAAGATAAAAGAAACGCCCGATTGCCGAAGCCAAGAATAAATTTGTCAAAGAAGAGGTAACCCGCTTATTTAGTATCGGTTTGATCTAAGAGGTAAGATATCCAGACTGGCTAGCCAATGTAGTATTAGTTCCTAAGAAGAACAATAAGTTTTGCATGTGTGTAGATTATAAATATCTTAACAATGCGTGCCCGAAAGACTCGTTCCCACTGCCAAACATCGATCAAATGATTGATGCCACGGCCGGGCACAAGTTATTGAGTTTCCTCAATGCTTATTCCGGGTACAACCAAATTAAGATGAACTCGGAGGATCAGAAAAAGACTTCATTTATAACGAATTTCGGTATATATTGCTATAATGTGATACTCTTTGGGTTGAAAAATGCCGGAGTCACTTATCAATGACTCGTGAACAAGATGTTTGAAAATCAAATAGGAAAAACTATGGAAGTTTATATAGACGATATACTAATTAAATATTTAAACGCATATGATCATCTTAAACATCTGCAAGAAACTTTAGACATCCTAAGGAAGCATAATTTGAAACTTAATCCCGAGAAATGTGCGTTCGGGGTAAGCTCTGGTAAGTTTCTGGGATTTCTGATATCACAAAGGGAATTGAGGTAAACCCCGATAAGATCAAGGCCATAGAAGACATTCCGGACTAACTATCAAATGTGGAGGAAGTCCAAAGGCTTACGGGGAGTGCCAGCAGGCTTTGAGGGATTTAAAGAAGTACTTGTCAAGCCCTTCATTGCTTTCAAAACCAAAAGAAGGTGAACTGTTGCTAGTTTATCTCGCAGTCTCGGAAGTTGCGGTAAGTTCAGTTTTAGTCCGAGAGAATGAAGGTACGCAATCTCCAATTTATTATGTTAGTAAAATTTTAACGGGAGCAGAAACTCGCTACCCACATTTGGAGAAACTGGCCTTAGCTCTTGTAGTCGCCACTCTAAAACTGAGGCCCTACTTCAAATGCCACCCGATAGCCGTGGTGACTACTTTTCCTTTGCGGAATATACTCCATAAAGACAAACTCTCGGATAGATTGGCCAAATGGGCCGTCAAAATGAGTGAGTTCGATATAAAATATAAACCAAGGACTTCAATTAAGTCGCAAGTCTTTGCTGATTTCGTGGCCGATTTTAGTCCGAGATTATTGCCTCTGGCAACCAAGAAGGCAGTAATGGTGTCAGAATCGACATCAGGGGTTTAGACCTTATTTACAAACGGGGCTTCCAACATAAAAGGGCCCGGGCTCGGTATAGTCTTAATCACGTCTTCGGAGGAAACCCTAAGGCAAGCCATCAGAACGGTCCCTTTAACTAACAATGAAGAAGAGTATGAAGCTTTGATTGCAGGGCTCGAGTTGTCCTCGGGCCTTGACTCTGAGGTTATCGAAATCAAATGCGACTCACAGCTGGTGGTAAATGCGATCTACAGGATATTCGCGACCAAAGAGGAGCGCATGCAACAATACGTGGTAAAGGTTTAGGATCTGTTGGCGCAATTCCGGGAGTGGTCAATTACTCATATCCCAAGGGAAGATAACGCAGAAGCAGACGCATTGGCAAACCAAGGATCATCGACGGAAATAAAGGGATCGGAGTCCGGGGCGGTAGTACAACTAATGAACTCAGTCATGGATACAATGGTTACTATGAGGTAAACTCGACTAATTTGGTCTGGGACTGGAGAAATGAAATCATCGATTATCTCAAACACGGGAAGTTACCTGAAGACCCCAAAGCATCCCGAGCGCTGCGCGCCAAAGCAGTGCGATATGCTTCAAGAGAGGCCAATTGTATTGAAAATCTTTTCAAGGCCCGCTGGCCCGATGCTTAGGCATCCGAAGCTAACTATGTCATGACAAAGGTTCACGAAGGAAAATCAGCCTATGGCAACAGAGTTGTTGCAACGGTTCAGAAACCGTTGCTATAGAGTTCTTATGGCAACGGTTGTAAGCGTTCTAATAAGACATAGGTACATTCGGCACACTTCAATCATATAACCGTTGCATTTGTGTAAAAACCGTTCCCATAGCTATTTTTTTTTTTTCAACGTTTCTTATAACCGTTCATATAGATGAATCTATTGCAACGGATCTGGGAAACAAAATCAATGGGAACGGTTATTAATCCCTCTTAATTATCCCCCCCCCCCCTAAATTT